CCGCCCGCGAGGTCCACAGCCCTCCGCCCCGCAGGTTTCTGCAAACCGAGACAAAGTCCCAGCTGCGCCACGGTCAGTTCCGGCGCCGGTGCCTGCGCGGAGCCCTGGAGAGGCGGCCACTGAGAAGCAGGGAGCACCCACGGGGGCACTTCCAACCCAGGCGGCGGAGGCCAGTGCGGGCGCTGAGCGGGCAAAGCACAGGCTCCCCACCTCTGGGCACTTGCTCTCTGCCGAGTGGGGGTGACAGCGGACACCCCCGCACAGGGCTGTGGTGGGGATGCACCGAGTTGTGGGACTGAAGTAGAGGCTGGCTCGGAACACCATCTAAAATACTGTCTCCAAATGCCGTCTCCACCTAGCCTTCTTTTCCTCCCCTCCCATTCCGCTCAATTCAGCAGCCAGGGGAGCTCACCTGCTTAAATTTTTGCGTCACTGGGGATTGAATCAGGGCCTTGGCACTGAGCTACATTCCCACTCTATTTATTTAACAGTCTCGCAAATTTGCCTGGGCTGGGCGCGAACTTTCGATCTTCCCGCCTCAGGTTCCCTCTGTGCTAGGATTACAGGTGTCCACCACCACACCCGGCTTAGCCCGAGCTTTAAAACTGAAACACGACCTCATTCCAGCCGCAGACTGTGCCTCCCTGTCCCCCGAACAAAACCCAAAAGCTGGGGGTAGTGATGCATGCCTGTAATTTCAGCACTTGTGAGGCTGAGGCAGGAGGATCGCTGCAAGTTCGAGGCCAGCCTGGGCTACAAAGTGAGTTCAAAGCCAGCCTGAACTGCACAGCGAGACCCTCTCAAAAAGACAAAAACCCAAGACGGTCGGTCTTTCCTCCCTCAGCACCACTCCAGTGCTCAAGTTGGACTTTGCCACTGGCTCTGCTCAGGTTCTCTGGCTTGCTCTCCCCTGCTCCAAGGCCTCTGTCCACTTACCTGCTTGCTGTGTGCCTCCTTGCCCCCGTTAGCCCGGACTACCCCTAGGTGCTCAGTCCAAGCACCACCTCTTCCAGGAAGCTCTCCCTCATCTTCTCACTTGCACAGATCAGACTTAGAGAGCTCCCCGAGGGGAGGAACACATGCTCCCCCAGGTGGGAAACACCCCACACAGATACAAATACAGTCTGTGCATGTGCAACATGCTTACTAATGCACAAAAGCAGTGGGAGAAACAGCAAACTGATAGCAGGGGCCTCTGCTGCTGGAAATGAAGGAAGTTCACCTGTTACTCTGCACCTTGGAAACACGCCTGATTTTCTACAAGAATATTTACTGGATCGAGACTGGGAAACACAGTGACAAAGCCTTCCTTTCTTGGGGCCTTGAGACTCCAACAGCATTAAGCCAAGCAGGCACAGGGACGACGAAGTGGAGAACGAGCGTTTTCCAGGCAATCTTTCCTCCCCGCAACCTGACATGAAGTACAGAGTCCCAACACCTGGCCTAAACATCTTCAAAATATTTATTAAAACCAAAGCAGGAGGAACAGAGCTGTTAGGAGACAAATCAAAGTGCAGATTGGAGGGTAGGGCAGAGCAACAAGTTAGGGGGGCTTCAAATACCACAGGAGGGGCCCCTCAGTCTGGGCTGGGGGAGCCCTTCACCTGCCCCTGCTTCCCACCCTGTCCGTGAAGGTCCTCACTCAGCTCTCCCATCTCAAGTCCATCCTGGGGCAGCTGGGGCCCTGAAATGACCCTCTGGAAAGGGACAACCCCTCCATCTGCCCATGGCTGTCAGTCTGTCTCCCTTCCTCCCTTTCCCAATAAATAAATCAGTCAGGCATTAGCTTCTTTGGGGTCAGGCAAAAGAACAGCTGAGGGACCCCTGCCCTTGTTCAGGGGTATAGGGAGTTGGGGTCTCAGCCCCACACTCCTCCCACCTTTTGCTCCCCAGGCTTGCCAAAGAAGCCTTGATAAATAAATAACGCTCTGTTAAAGCTTCAATCAGAAAAACTTTTAAGACAGAAGTGCTCTCACTGTCCTGCATGCCTAGCCAGCCCAGGCCTCCCCACCTGGCCTGGTCAATGCTCAGGACTTGGGGCAGGCAGCAGCCCTGGGCGCCACTGGGCCCCTGGAGCAAGGAAACCGAAAGTGCAGTCAGAGCCCCCCATGCACACACACGAACTCACGCACACACGTGGACACACCAGGGCGTGTCTGCAGTGCACGCAGACGTGTTCACCTTCATTCCCCGGAACATGCGTGCATACATGCTCACACCACACCCCCTGGGTACACACATGTGGGATGCTGGGTGCATGCACGTACACACCGCAAACACAAGTCTTTCCCTCCCTGGCTTCCTTGACCTCTGGACAGCAGCCAGCCCCCAGAGCTAGAAGCTACTGGAGAAAGGAAAACGAATATAATTACACTTTTCCAATCGGGTTAGAAGGAAGACCTGGGGCAGGGGTCTCCAGGGCTGCAGAGACAGGGTGGGCATCTCAGGAGACCCTACGGGCCAGTCAGAAATCCAGGGGTGTCAGGTCCCCAAAGTCACAATCAAAGAGGTCTCTGATGCCCTCACCCTCCTCAAGGCCAAAATGATAGTCAAGGGCCTCGTGGGGTGGGGAGAGACTGATGAACTCCTCAGGAAGGAGCCCAGGAAAGTCCTCCCGCACATGCTCCAGGAGCGAGTCGGCAGCGACCAGCGGGGACAGGTGGTCCTCATCCACAGGAGCCCGTAGGCCACTCATCCGTGACAGCAGTGGCTCTGGGGAAACAGGGGCACATCACAGGCCAGGGGTGGCCCGGCAGGGACGAGAGGGGCCTGCCCTGCACGCCTGGCCCCCACCAAAGAGGGGCTTCACCCACCTTGCTCCAGGCCCAGCAGGGACTGGCTGGGATCCGTGGCAGGGGATGAGGGGGGAGATGACGATGGTTGCACTGGGGTGACAGCATCGCTTGTCCTGTCCTCCTCCCCAGAAGCTGCCTCCTGGGGTGGGGTCTCTGCAGGACTCTCCTCAGGGCACAGGAAGACATCAATGGGGCCTTGTTTGCTCTTAAGGGAGATCTGAAAGGTCTGGGCGGAGGCGGCAGGCAGGGTAAACTGAGGCCCAGGTGACCACCATCCCAGTCCGGTCTGTCCTGGTCCGACCTGGAGCCCCTGGCCTCACCTCTGAAGAGTCCACGGCTTGGAGCTGGGTCTCTGGAGGGGCTTTGATCACCATGACCATCTGCTCCGCAGGGTCTGCGATGCTCCGAAGGTCCTGACAGGTCACATAGGCCAGGGTTGGTGGAGTCAAGGACCACATCACGTTTGCCCTTTGGGGGCGCTACTCGACAGCCCTAAGCAGGGCCCACAGCTGCCTAGTCACCCTGTCCTCTTGATCCCCAGCCCCAGGGCTTGGCACATAGGTGATGCTGAAAACCTCATTTCCCTGAACTTCAACTGCCACATGTGTAGAGGACGGCTGCCCGCCCATCTACTTCCAAGCTGTTGGTGAGCTGCCATCGCAGTCCCACAGAAAATGTTTCGCACAATTCCAGGCCTGCTGCTGGCAATCTGTGACCTTGGTGTCAATTGAGAGTTGTGCTTCCAACTTGTCTGTGAGTGGTACTGGGGACTGAACCCAGGGAGCACTGGGAATCGAACTCAGGACTTTGTGCTTGCCAGGCAGGTGCTGTGCTACTGAGCTACATTCCCGGCCCCCTTTTCACTTTTTTGTTGCGAGATAGGGTCTTGCTAAATTGCCCAGGCTGGCCTCAAACTTTCAATTTTCTTTCTTCAGCCTCCCAAGTAGCTGGGATTACAGGCATGCACAACACCCAGCAGAGCACAGTTTAGAAACGCAATTTTGGTATCCACTAAAGAAACATTTTAATGACGTTTTTATTTTTGTGAATAAAAGCAAAAACTTGGTATCTCTAATTCTGAAGCTACAACTATATGCTACATCACTACTACAATAATGTTAATTACTGCTGGTACTGTACCACACTTTTTTTTTTGGTACCAAAAATCAAACTCAGGACCTTGTGCTTGCCAGGCAGGTGCTGTGCCACTGAGCTATATCCCCAGTCCCATACTACACTTTAAGATCTTGCTATATAGCCTAGGATGGCCTCAAACTCAAAAATCTTCTAGCCTCGGCCTCTCAAGTGCTGGATTACAGGTGTGGGCTACCATACCTGGCTAGCTTTTCTTGTTTAATCCGCACAAAAGGGATTAGCTTTTACTATCTCCCCTTTTGTAGATGAAGCCGACACTATAGCAGTTAGGTAACTTGTGGTGAACAGATGTGCAGCCAGGACTTGCACCCAAAGCCAGAGCCCTCTCCGAATCCAGGGCCCAGTCCCATGTGACACGGCCCCCGATTGCCAAGACTGCTCTTCACCCCACCCCTAGACAATTCAAGGATATCGCTGGCTGTCAGAGTCCTCGGAGAGCAGCTGCAGCTGTGTGGTGCAGATGTGCATTAGGTGGTCCAGCTGCTGCTCGCTCTCTTGCAGCTGCCGGAGGTCCTGGGTCAGCCCTTCAAGCCGCCCGCTGATCCCCACTGTGGTCTGGCTGCCCCTGTGGGGAGGTGTGGGAGAAGGGGCATTTAGCAACTCCCGGCCCCTCTGCCCAGCAGCTCCGGCCCCCAGGACAAAGTCTGCTGCTGCTGCAGCAGCACTGTGGGCCCCAGGGCGGCCCTTTCTCCTCTCTGGTTCCAATACCCAGCTGTGCTCCAAATCAGATTGGCACAGGTTTAAAGCCTGGCCTGTCAACAAACACCCACGTGTCCCTAGGAGGGGGAGGGTAAGGAAATGGTGGCGTGGACAGGCCAGGGAGTGGGACACAGCTGTCTAAAAGGATGAGAATAATTAGGTGTACACTTGAAATCCTTTCCAAGATGTGTTGTCAGGTAAAAAGCAAATGATGCAGAACGCAATGATCCAACAAAAAATGGAAAGGTAGGTGTGAGCGAGCAGCAGGATGCCTGGGAAGCAAGGCGGAGGGAAAAACAAATCAAAAGCTGTCAAGAATAAACATCAGCCGGGAGTGGTGGCACACGTCTGTAATCCCAGCACCACTCGGGAGGCTGAGGCAGGAGGATCACTGAGAGTCTAAGACCAGCCTAGGCTACAAAAGTGAGCTCAAGACCAGCCTGAACTGCATAGCGAGAACTTGTCTCAAAAAGACAAAAAAATAAGAAATAAATAAATAAATATCAGTGCCAGGCACATCTCGTGAACAGCAGCAGAAGCCGGAGTGGTGGCCATCAGCTGGGAACGGGACTGGAAGTGTTCTTTATCCTGACCCAGGGGTGGTTATGAGGTGAACAAATACGTAAAGTTGCAGCACACCAGACCGGCAAGTTTGTGTACCTCCAGTATCTATCGCCCCACAAAGCCACTGCTCTTCTCGGCGCCTCAGTCTCCCCAACTGTAAGACGGGGATGCAGACAGCCACAGGCAGGTACTTCTGCCTGGCCCCAAGCCGCTACCTGCATTCCTGCTTGGCTAGTACCTACAGCCATTGGATGTGGTTCTTGGACTTCTTGGCAATGAGCTGGATGCCCTCCAGGACGTTGGTGATATCATAGATGCGCCGTTTCTGCACCTTCAGCACCTCAGCTGCCCAGTTTAGGTCAACAACGCCATCAGCTGAGCGGCTCAGCAGCTCCAGGAAACGCTTGGTGGTCAGATTCAGCGATGTCTCATAGCGTGACTTCTCCCCCGGGGATTTCACACCTGCGGCAGGGGTGGGAAGGCTAGATGGGGTCCTCACCCACCCCCACCCTCAGCCAGATCTGCCTGCCGGACAATGCAGAGAACAGGATGAGGGCGGGGAGGACAGGCCTCCTTCCCCTTGATGACACCAAGCAGGGAGGCAGACCTCTTCTGGCAGGGGAACTCCCCGCCCCCAGGACCACTCCCACTGCCTGCTGGGCCCCCAGAAGCCTGAATCAGGCTCAGGCCTAGGCCTGACAAGCTAGACTTTATTCTACAGGCCTGTATGCTTGTCCACATCCCAACCCGGGCCTGTCCAGCCTAAGTTCACGGTACCTTTTCCCACGTGGCGGCTTCTGCCCCAGACTGGCCCACTGCTCTCAGCCAGGTACTGATGGTCAATTTCCAGGTCTAGCCTCCGCTTCACCTGCAGCAGGACAATGGGAGGACGCCCAGTAACAAAGAGTGAGGCCACATTAAAAAAAAAAAAAGAGAGGGCACAGAGCCTCAGCAGAGGGCCCTGCCTGTTTCTCTACAGACAGATCCTGGGGACGCAGCATGCAGGCGACACCTGTATCAGACAGGACACTGCAGCAGAAGGTAGGCGACCCGAGTTCAAGCCCTAGCTCTATCACCCTGGCGGCTGGTGGTTGTTTTAAAATGTATCTGTGAAAAACTGTTTTGGCTGTGATAGGGATCACAAGACTTTGCACACACTAAACACACATTCTACCATTGAACTGTGCCCCTCACCCCTACGTTTACAAAGTTTTAATACTTCTTTCAAAAGATGAGAGCTAACTCTGTTTTTAATACAGGCCGGATCTGGCAAATTGCTTTTAAGGGACAGAATGTGGTAACTGCTGAGGCCAGATCGCAGGGGCGCTGGAGCTTCCTCTTGGCTGTCTCTATTGGATCACTCGCTCTGCAGGAGCGGCTGCCCGGTCAGACAGTTCAAGCAGCCCTGAAGACGGACCCAGTGCAAGGAACCAACACTTACTCCCACAGTAACCTTAATTAATCCTGACTTTTTTTGATACTGGGAATCAAACGCTGGGACACTCTACCACTGAGTTATACCTCCAGCTCCCCTTCTTTTTTTTTTGGTTTCTTGAGACAGACCTATGTAGTCCAGGCTGGCCTTAAAGTCTCCTGCCTCAGCCTCCTGAGTGCTACCCAGCCTATTTTATCTTAAGACAGGGTCTCACCAAGTTTCCCAAACTGGCCTCAAGTTTGCAATTCTCCTGTCTCAGCCACCACATCCAGCTAGTCATAACTTCTTTTTTTTTTTTTCCCGGAACCAGGAATCGAACTCACAACCTTGCATTTGCCGGGCAGGCACTGTGCCACTGAGCTAAATCCCCAGCCCCGATAACTTCTGATTGCAGCTGAGGCCATCATTTTGGCTGCAATCTCAGAAGAGACCCTTGAAGCTAAGTGCGGTGGCACATACCTGAAATCCCAGCAGGAGGATGGCTGCAAGTCTGAAGCCAGCCTGGGCTACATAATGAGTTCAAAAAACAAAAATGGGCAAGAAAGAGACCCCCAAACCAAAACCATCCAGTTAAGTGTCCCTCAAATTCTGAATCCACAGAAAGTGCGTAATAAACGTTTGTTACCTGAAGCCACTGAGTATACAGGTTGGTCGGGCAAGTCACTTCCTCTCAGTTTTTGCCTAAGCTACTCATGTACAACTATGGCAGCAGCTGATTCCATTCTATGGACTAGCAGTATGGTAACAGCCCCATTTTACAGATAAGGCAAGTGAAGCCCAAGGTCATATAGCCAGGAGTGAGAGCCAGGATTCCTACCGAGGGCTGTCGGAGGAGCCCAACCTTTACCTCTGGCTTAGGTCAGACATTCAGGTGTGGAGACTGTCCTTCGAGTCTCACAGGCCGCTCAAGTGCAGTTGGACCAGAACCATATTGCTGCCCCCTCCACTGGACACAGGCTTTCTGAGTCCGACCCCATTAGCTCACCTGCCACTCTCCTTAGATCCAGCTGCCACGAACCCATTTACCCTGCCATTATCACTTCCGGCTGGAGAATCAGCAGCCTCCACAATGCCTGCCCACTCCATCCAGCCCCTCCACACCTGTGGTGCCCTACAAGTGCTGCCACGGCCCTGCCTGAGACCTTCCTCTGGCTCCCTGCTGCCTTTACCCTCACCTGCCCTTGTTTCTCCACAAGGACTTCTAAGAAATCTGCACCTCCAAAGCTGAGCCACCGCCAGTCTCTCTTCCTGGATTGCCCTTGCCCACCTTTCTCCCTCCCCTCTGTACAACTAACTGCTGCCTCCCCCGCTGGACAGGAACTTGGCCATTATTTCTATTTTTTGTGGTACTGAGGACTGCAGCCCGGGCCTTGAGCATGCTAGGCAAACCCCCTGCCACTGAACTACACCCCAGCCCCTTGTATTCTCAGAGAGTACAAGTTCACTCACTAAGTCGCCCAGAGTGGCCCTGAGCTTGTGATACTGTTCCTCAGCCTCCTGAGCAGCTGGGATTACAGGCATGCAGAGGCCAGAGATGTCACATGCCAGAGACCTTGCAGCTGTAAAAAAATAAGGGTGGCCAACATAGCCTCAAAGACACTGAGAAGCAAAACAACAGGGCAACAGATGTATAGGATCCATTCTTGGATTACAAATCTCATGAACTGCTGGGGATAGTGGTCCCTACAATACCAGCTCTTTAGGAGGCTGAGGCAAGAAGATTGAAATATGAGGCCAGCCCAGGCAACCTGGCAACTTAGCAAGATGCTGTTTCAAAAAAATAAAAATAAAAAACAAACAAGACAAAAGGCTGGGGATGTAGCTCCATGGAAAGGCCTTGAGGTCAAACCCCAGTACTGCAGAAAGCAAACAAACAGCCTTAGGGAAATCAAACAGGTCATCTGTAATCAGCAATTACAAGAGGCTGAGGCAAGATTTAAAATTCAAGACCATTATGAGGGATAAAATGAGTTCAATCCCACCACAACGGAGGCTGAGGCAGGAGGTCTGCCATGAGTTGGAGGCCAGCCTGCGCTACATAACGAGCTCAAGGCCAGTCTGAACTACATAGCAAGACCCTGTCTCAGAAACAAAAATGACAGAAAGAAAGTGGGCTGGGATTCTGCCCTCAACTTTCAAGTTTTTTTTCTCCCCTCAGCACTACAGAAGCAAACCCAAGGTGAGCCAGGCAAGCACAGTACCACTGAGCTGACCCACCCAATGTTCTTAGTCTGGTTTTTTATAGTGATATGTATTATATATACTCAAACCCTCATGGGGTTTGTTTTGCTGTGCAGGGATCCTTGGCCTCCGGGATGCTGCAGGTGCTCTACCACTGAGCTACACCTCCAGGCTTTAGTTTCCTTTTAATGGCCACAACAGTGTGGAAGTGGATAGGCTAGGTCATAAGAAATGGCTGAAAAAAAAATAAATAAAAACCAAAAAGAAAAAAATCACCAGGGGTGGTGGAGCACGCCTGTAATCCCAGCACTTGGGAGGCAGAGGCAGGAGTATCGTTGTAAGGTCAAGGCCAGCCTGGGCTACAAAATGAGTTCAAGGCCAGTCTGAACTGCATAGTGAAACCCTGTCTCAAAAAGGCAAGAAAAAAAGATAAAAAAAGAAATGGCTGAATTGCAAAGTCCTATAAACAGGAGGCACTTAAATGCTCACAGGGGCAAAATCCAAGCCTGCAGCTTATTTCGTGGGCTGCCCCCAAAAATGCCGGAGCAGAGTTGGTAGAGGCCAAAACCTGGGCGTGTGATTCTGGCCTTCAGCTCCAGGATGGTGCCAGTCTCACCCTTGCCCACACAGAAAATGCCTGCAGGTCCCTCAGCGGAGGCAGGGGATGCTTACTTGCCTCTGTGAGTAGCACCTCACTGGCACGCACTAACTGTTGAATGGCCACTGAGGCTGCCCCTGCCACCACCTGGCATACAGTGGGAAGCAGAGGGTATTTCTCTTTGTCCCAGTCCCTCCCTGAGCCTGCAGCTCAGCTTCCCTGAGGCCAGGCCCCACACGCTGTTAGGTATCTGCAGCCCCAGGCCTGCAAAGTGCTTTGTCACGCAGCTGAACGAGGATATACCTGCCCAAGTCCCAAGCTAGGACCCGCAGGGAGTATAGGAGACAAGCCAGCTGACTGACCCCTGACACACACCCCTTGCCCCATTCACTAGGAGAAAGGGACCCAGGCATTCTGTAGACTTTCTTCAACTACCATTAGCATCTCTAGGTCAACACTCAGGAAATCTGGCCGGGTCCCACCACTCAGCAACTGAATGACTAGAGGTCTGACCATCTCTAGGCCTCAGCTTCCCAGTCTATGCAAAGGCAGGTTGCTCACAGGGTTAAATGAGTTAATTGGGTAAAGTGCTTGGCACAGAGCCTGGCACAAAAAACATTTTCCAAACAATGGTGGCTGCTATTGTTATTATTATTAGCATCTTGGTGATTCCGGAAGGAAGGCAGCACTGGGCACTGGGCCAAAGGGGCTGGGGGCCTTTCCAGGATGCCTCAGGGACCAGCTGCCACCCACACCCCTATCAGCAGTTGAGCAGCTTCTACCTTCCTCCAGGGCCCTGTCTGGCCCCTCCCACCTGCTTCAAGCCTGCCGCTGAGACCCCATCCTACCTACCCAGCCCCCACTTCACCCACAAGCTGCACCAGTAAAACTGGTCCCCACACCCTGTCCTGCCACCCACAGATCCAAGCTCCAGGTCTCCAGTCCCCTCTCCCACTGTAATTGGGCAGCTGCTTCTGGCTCCCTGGTCTGAACTGGGCTCAAGCTTCTTGCAGCTCAGGAATCAGAAAGGTCTTTATCCAGGAATTTCTCTGGGACCTTTCTCCCTCTCGCTCCTGTGGGCCTCCTCCCCAGCTCCCATAGGCCCAGCCCACCCAGCCCTTCCTCAGAGGCTCAGGGGTCTGCCTGCCTGATTAATGAGGTCCCATGGCAACCAGGGGCTGGGAGGGTGGCAGATGGAAGGACAGGCAGAGGGAGGGCATCGGCAGCTAGCCCAGAGCCCGCCCCTGCAGAGAAGGCCTCCCAGCTAAGAGGCCTCTCCCCAGAGGCTGGAGGGCCAGGCCTGCACCTGGCAGCCCAGCGTCAAGGCAGAGAGGGTCTCCTCCACGGCTCCCCAACGGTCAGGACCCCCCCGACCCCCCCAACCCCCCAAGAGCCATGTGCATGGCCCAGCCACAGCTCACAGCCCAGCCCACCACCTGCAGCTGTCCGACCTGGGACAAGCCACCTCCCTCTCGGGCTCCCTCAGCTCCCGGAAAGAGTCGGATAGGCACAGCGACAGCACCGCATCACGGCAGCCTGAGTAGCCGGCCTGAAACCTGCCCAAAGCCTGGCCGCAGGAAGCGCCAGCTGAGCACGCGAGGGCCGTCACTATCGGGGTCCAGCTCCGCAGCAGCTGCAGGAGGAAGCTGAGGCC